CGCGGTGGGGGGGGGGGAGGGATAAAGCGATCATCCCAGAGAATTGGGGCGGGGGGGGTTAGTTTGTTTTCTGCTGCTAAAGGTTAACAGGAAAACTGCAGCACTCAACGGGCTTTGCTTGGTATGTGGGAAAGGAGGACGCAGAAGCCGAAAGACAATGGCTTACCATGGCCGCATGCAAGCCGAATTCTGTTGCCCAGACCTGTGTCTGTGATCTCTAGCAGCAAAGCCACAGGCACTCAATATTAAGAGGCAAAATGCGACCTTGCACAGAAATCACATGTGCTATGTAATGTGAATAGTGTTGTTCACCGTGAAAGAGTATAAGCATTGTTCTGTAAAATGTATCTTTTAAAAAAATTCTCTCCTTTTTTCCCTCCCTCCAGCAGCTGCAAATTTTTCAAGCCTCCCTCCTCCGTCCCGAAGGCTATCTCAGATAAGGTGTCGGAAAAAGAGGACGCGAGACGAGATGTTCGCAGAAATCATGGAATCCACCCACAATGAAAGAGCTCATCTGAATGAGTGGAAGGACACGGTATCAAAGTACAGGAAAGATGCCAGTGAACGTGAGGCCATGAGGGACGCTTGAGATGACAGGTGGCAGGCTGCAACGCTGGGGCTGCTGCGTGATCAAACGGACATGCTCCGGCGTCTGGTGGAGCTTCAGGAACAGCAGCAGGAGCACAGAGAGCCGCTGCAGCCGCTGTATAACCGCCCTCCCCCCGCACCGGTGCCCGGCGCTCCTCCCCCGCGGTGTTAAAGGCGGGGGGGGGGGGGGGGGGAGGCTTCGTACACCCTCCCACTCCACCCCAGTGGACAGCCCAACCAAAAGGCTGTCATTATATTGAACTTTTTTAGTGGCCTTTTCCTTCCCTCCTATCCTCCTCCCAAACCCCACCCGGGCTACCTTGTCAGTTCTCTCCCTCTTTTTATAATCAATTAATAAAGAATGCATGATTTTTAAACGATACTGACTTTATTTCCTTTGAAAGCAAGCTGTGATCGAAGGGGGAGGGTGGGTTGCCTACAGAGAATGAGTCAATAAAGGGGGCAGGTTTTCATCGAGAAACAAACAGAACTTTCACACAGTAGCCTGGCCAGTCATGAAACTGGTTTTCAAAGCTTCTCTGATGCGCCGCGCTTCCTGGTGTGCTCTTCTAATCGCCCTGGTGTCTGGCTGCACGTAATCAGCAGCCAGGCGATTTGCCTCAGCCTCCCACCCCGCCATAAACGTCTCCCCCTTACTCTCACAGAGATTGTGGAGCACACAGCAAGCAGCAATAACAATGGGGATATTGGTTTGGCTGAGGTCTGAGCGAGTCAGTAAAGTGCGCCAGCGACCTTTTAAACGGCCAAATGCACATTCCACCACCATTCTGCACTTGCTCAGCCTGTAGTTGAACAGCTCCTGACTCCTGTCCAGGCTGCCTGTGTATGGCTTCATGAGCCATGGCATTAAGGGGTAGGCTGGGTCCCCAAGGATAACTATAGGCATTTCAACATCCCCAACGGTTATTTTCTGGTCTGGGAAGTAAGTCCCTTGCTGCAGCCATTTGAACAGAGTAGTGTTCCTGAAGACGCGCGCATCATGAACCCTTCCCGGCCAGCCCACGTTGATGTTGGTAAAACGTCCCCTGTGATCCACCGGTGCTTGCAGCACCATTGAAAAGTAACCCTTGCAGTTTATGTACTGGGTACCCTGGTGCTCCGGTGCCAAGATAAGGATATGGGTTCCATCTATCGCCCCACCACAGTTAGGGAATCCCATTGCAGCAAAGCCATCCACTATGACCTGCACATTTCCCAGAGTCACTACCTTTCGTAGCAGCAGCTCAATGATTGCTTCGATTACTTGCATGACAGCAGCCCCCACAGTAGATTTGCCCACTCCAAATTGATTCCCGACTGACCGGTAGCTGTCTGGCGTTGCAAGCTTCCACAGGGCTATCGCCACTCGCTTCTCAACTGTGACGGCTGCTCTCATCCTGGTATTCTGGCGCTTTAGGGCAGGGGAAAGCAAGTCACAAAGTTCCATGAAAGTGCCCTTACGCATGCAAAAGTTTCGCAGCCACTGGGAATCGTCCCACACCTGCAACACTATGCGGTCCCACCAGTCTGTGCTTGTTTCCCGGGCCCAGAATCGGCGTTCCATGGATAGAACCTGCCCCATCAACAACATGATCTCCAAAGCGCCGGGACCCGCGGTTTGAGAGAATTCTGTGTCTGTGTCCATGTCCTCATCACTCTCGTCACCGCGCTGACGTCGCCGCCTCCTCCTTGCCTCGTTTTTCTGGTCCTGGTTCAGCATAAACTGCACGATAATGCGCGAGGTGTTTACAATGTTCATGACTGCTGTCTTGAGCTGAGCGGGCTCCATGCTTGCCGTGGTATGGCGTCTGCTGTGTTCACCCAGGAAAAAAGGTGCGAAACGGTTGTCTGCCGTTGCTTTCATGGAGGGAGGGGTGAGGCTGTACCCAGAACCACCTGCGACAATGTTTTTTGCCCCATCAGGCACTGGGATCTCAACCCAGAATTCCAATGGGCGGGGGAGACTGCGGGAACTATGGGATAGCTATGGGATAACTACCCACAGTGCAACGCTCTGGAAATCGACGCTAGCCCCGGTACATGGACGCACACCGCCGAATTAATATGCTTAGTGTGGCCGCATACATTCGACTTTATACAATCTGTTTCCAAAATTCGAATTCTGTAAATTCGGATTAATCCCGTAGTGTAGACATACCTTTTGTCTCATTAACTTCTAATTGTTACAAATGACCTGAAATCAAGGGTATAGGTGCAAAAATCCATCGGTGCACATTAGTCACTTGGTTTACAAAAGAAAGCTCTTAATTTCTTTTTATGCACAATCAGTACAGGCAATATCATCAGTTTAGATGTAGTGTTCTTCTGTCCTGAAAAGTTTTTTCACCACCTGCAAATATTATGGCCTGAAAACAATGAAAAGAAAGCTTGGACAGTACAGGATACCCAAATTTCAAAAACGGTTATCAAATCACCAATATTGAGGAAGGGAACATTATTAAAGTTACAGATTTGAAAGGACAGATCTTTTGCTAAATACATGCACTTGTTCTAAATCAAGTATAGCAAAACATAAAATATAAACAAAAATCATGTCTGTCTGTCTTGCAAGAATAAAAAGCGAACACAAAGTAAAGTGAAAATGAGTTTTCTCAAGATTCACAAAAAATGTTCCGTTTTCCTCACACCCAAGAACATATGAATGGCCATACTGGGTCAGACCAATGGTCCATCTAGCAGAGTATCCTGTCTTCCAACAGCGGCAAGGGCCAGATGCTTCAGAGGGAATGAACAGAACAGGGCAATTATTGAGTGATCAATACCCTGGCATCCAATCCCAACTTCTGGCAATCAGAGGTTTAGGGACACCAAGAGCATGAGGTAGCATTCCTGACCATTTTGGCTAATAGCCATTGATGGACATATCCTCCATGAACTCATCTAATTCTTTTTTTGAACACAGTTATACTTTTGGACTTTGTAACATCCCCTGGCAACGAATTCCACAGGTTGACTATGCGTTGTGTGAAGAAATACTTCCTTAGTTTATTTTAAACCTGCTGCCTATTAATTTCACTGCGTGACCACTGCTTCTTGTGTTATGTAAAGGGGTAAATAACACTTCCTTATTCACTTTCTCCATACCATTCATGATTTTATAGACCTCTATCATATCCCCCTTAGTTGGCTCTTTTCTAAGATGAACAGTCCCAGTTTTTTTAGTCTCTTCTCATATGGAAGCTGTTCCACACCACGATCATTTTTGTTGCCCCCTCTGTACATTTTTCAATTCTAATACATCTTTTTTGAGATGCAACCAAAACTGCATGCAATATTCAAGGTATAGGTATACCATGGGTTTATATAATGGTGTTATGATATCTTCTGTTTTATTATCTATCCCTTAATAATGGTTCCTAACATTCTGTTAGCTTTTTTGACTGCCGCTGCACATTGAACAGATGTTTTCAGAGAACTATCCACAATGCCTCCAAGATGTCTTGCTTGAGTAGTAACAGCTAATTTAGACCCAATCATTTTGTATGTATAAATTGGGATTATGTTTTCCCATGTGCATTACTTTTCATTTATTTAATTACTGCCATTTTGTTGCCCAGTCACCTAGTTTTGTGAGATCCTGTTGTAACTCTTCATAGTCAGCCTCATAGTCAGCTTTACTAACTATCTTGAGTACATTTATATTGTTTGGAAACTTTGTCACCTCACTGTTTACACCTTTTTCCAGATCATTTCTGAAAATGTTGAACAGCACTAGTCCCAGTACAGATCGTTGGGGGACCCTGCTATTTACCTCTGTCCACTATGAAAACTGACCTTTTATTCTTACTCTTTGGTTCTTATATTTTAACCAGTTACCGATCCATGAGCTGACCTTCCCTCTTATCTGATAACAGCCGACTTTGCTTAAGTCATTGGTGAGGGTCCTTGTCAAAGGCTTTCTGAAAGTCCAAGTACACTATATCTATTGGTCCAAATGTTTGTTGACCCTCTCAAAGAATTCTAATAGAGTGGCGAGGCATGATTCCCCTTTACAAAAGCCAGATAGACTCTTACCCAACATATTATGTTCATCTAAGTGTCTGATAATTCTATTCTTTACTATCATTTCAACCAATTTATCTGGTACTGAAGTTAGGCTTACTGGCCTGTAATTGCCAGGATTGCCTCTGGAGCCTTTAAAAAAAAAAAAAAAAAAATCGGTGTTACATTAGTTATTCACCAGCCAGTTGGTACAGAGCTATTTATTTATTCTATTTATTTATTTATTTAAGCAACCGGTTACATACCAGTTAGTAATTCTACAATTTCATATTTGAATTCCTTCAGAAATCTTGGGTGAATACCATCTGGTCCTGGTGATTTATTACTGTTTAATTGATCAATTTCTTCCAAAATCTCCTCTATTGACAACTCAATCTGGGACAGTTCCTCATATTTGTCACCTAAAAAGAATGGCTCAGATGTGGGAATTTCTCTCACATCCTCTACAATGAAGACTGATGCAAAGAATTCATTTAACTTCTCCGTAACAGCTGTTACTGCAACATCTTCCTTGAGTGCTCCTGTAGCACCTTGATCGTCCAGTCACCCCCCTGATTATTTGGCAGGCTTCCCGTTTCTGATGTACTTCAAAAAAAATTGCTGTTTTTTTTGGTGTCTTTTGATAGTTGCTCTTCAAATTCTTTTTTGGCCTGCCTCATTATACTTTACACTTGACTTGGCAAGGAACATAAACTCTGGCATCTTCATCAGTAGGATCTGCCTTCCAATTTTTAAAAGACATCTAAAACCCATATTCAAACTTCTTTGCATAATCTGTATAGATAGCATACAGCAATGGGTTTCTTTTTTTGCATATTCTAAACAATTTTGTTCAAAAAGGTGGTATTCTTAGGTCTTAATCCTGTAAACTCTTATTCCTGTGTGGAACCCTTACACATGCAAGTAGTCTTATTCACTTCAGCAGCACTATTCGCATGAATAAGGATTTGCAGGATCAGGCCCTCACCCCCTTGGTAATGTATACATCGGAAGCTGCCATAGTAAATATGAATGGGAAATCAGTTTCTTGTATAATGGGTTATACAATAGCTGCCTCATCACCCCACTAAAACCACAGCTCAAGGTTACAAGAATGTGATAGTTTAGCACCAATTAATAAAATTGACTAAAATTTTTGTTCTTTTAAATTATAACATACCCACTGAAAAACACTAAGTCCTCTAGCCCTTAAATTTTGCAAACTAGTCACATAGGATACACTTTTAGTCCCAGTCGCAGTGGATTTGATGCACAGCTCACATTATTGATATGGGAATTAAGTGGCTAGACCAATATGCACAGTTCTGAAGCTGTACTCCACATACTGGAGGTCAATGATAGTGTTTAATTTCTAGTTAATACAACACACCTGCAGTTTACTTGGAAATAGTTGAAACAGTTTATATTAAACATTTCATATTAAAAACAAAACAATCTCAGTTTAAATACTCACTCACTTTAGGAAACCTTGTTTGTGTTTCTTACTCTCATAATTTCCATAGACTATTTGTAGCAGCAGACTTGCCAGTGTGATCAGTTTGGCATCAGGTGAAGTATAGAAGCCTTTCAGCAAATTATATCTGGCTTCATCAAACAGGATAAGAATAGCCAGTGGATCCTCAATCTGTTTAAAAATATAAATTTTAAACATTTTGATTAAAATGTTTAAATGTAATTTTCCTTTTACAAACTAAGTATAACTTTTTACTGGAGACAAAGATATGATCTTGTTTAACTGAAATGTGTATTTTATTTGGTCTAGAAGAAGAATAAATGCTATGATTCATAAATATTGATATGCAAGTATTTCCATTTTCTGATCTAACATACATAAATTACAACTGAATACCACACTACGCCAAATCAAAATCACATCAAACCCATAAAAGCCAAAAAACATTTTACACTGTTGACAAAAAAAAAAAAATCTATTTTCTCACTCTATACTATCTATTTATGACCAGTTTTTACCACCCTTACTCTTGCCAAGTAGTACCACCTTTCTCTGAGAGTAATCTCACAGATATCAATGAACTATCTGTAAGAAGAAAATTACTCAGAATGAGTAAGGGTACTAGAAAGAAGGCAGGACTGGAGGAAAATCTGATTGGCTTAACTAAGGTTCCAATCCATAAACAATATTGTCTGTTTTGTGATTAAGTTTAATTGCTTAGGAGTATACTCGGACAAGTCTTTATTCTATTGGAGGAATAGCATTGATGAGAAACTGCTGTTTCTAGGAGCTCGCTTAGTACTATTTTATTATTATTATTGACAATACATTTGTTTGGAATGTAAGTGATTTTCTGCAATTTCAATAAATAACAGGAGAATAAACCTTAGAATTGTAAAAAGTCAGAGGCCTATTCTACCATTGTCCTGTCCCACAATTATTAACAGGAATTACAGGCTTGATCTAACTCCTATCAAAATCAACAGGACTCTTTCCTTAATCTTCAGTGGGAGTTGGATTAGGCCCTACATGCACACAGGCAGAAGAACAAATCACTTTAACTGACAGATACTCTTAGACCTACTAATGTTTTCTAACAGGTTTAAATATGATCTAAAGTCATGGGTTCTGAACCTGTAGTTTGCAACTTCTTTCCCTTTCTTATTGGTCAGATGGGAAGGGGATCCCAAAATTTATTTAAGTTCTAAAACAGACTAATGGATTGACATTCTAATTAACATACTCCTGGCTGATAAAGGTTTCTGTTTCTGCACCTGTATTTGATATTAGCACTTCTAATGCAGACCTTTTTTTCAACCTCCAAAGGAAGTCTCACATCCCTCCTCAGGAAAAGCTGTGGGGTTTCCCTTTGAGGATCCAAGTTTGTCAGTTCAGTGAGTATTTCAGGCCAGTCACGAACATGCTGCAAAGGTTTATGATATGGCTTCAGCTGGAGGCCTGGAAAATAACAACTTTTCATTTAAAATAATAAACAGGGGAATCAAGCACATAGATGCTCAAATGAATGCTATACCAAAATGTAAGAACTGAGAATTCGCTTTTCTCAAACAAAGAACTGTTTTCTTTTTACCGTATATAAAAGGTCGCAAACATGGTGACAAATTTATCACAGCAGAGGCCACACCAATAATTCAGTAAATGCATGCTTGAATTATGTTCAGCTTCTCAAAAATGAACTGAAATTCTTTAAAAAAAAATAAGTAATTTTAAAAATTTAAGTTTGTAATGAAACATATGGGTGGACCTTAAAACTACAAGTAAAAGGCTGTGGTAAGGACTGCAGGATTGGGCCAAAACACCACATCAAATAAAACATTTAAAATAATTTCCTCTTATTGCTTCTGAATCGGTTCCTTCTGCTAGTGCCTGTGGAATCACAGATGTCTAATTCAGGGTAAGGAACTACATTAACTACTAGGCTTTAATGATTGTATTAGCTAGTGATTGTAGCAGTTATTTTAGGAGAAATAAGAGTCCAGAACTCAGGTCTTGACAGGAAAATATATCTTCGGTTTGTTTTAGAAACATTTTTGCCATTTTATAGACTGTAATTGTTTCAGGATAGAGGCTGTGCCCTTTCTATGGTCTGTAAAGCATCATGATCCCAACATGCTGTAACCATGCAGTTTTTCCTGCTTCCCTACTCTTATTGAGGCTGACCTACAGATCTAGATCCTTGTGCTAACCAGCACACAGCCGCAGCTACATTCAGGCAACCCATCTGCCTATCCTCCTTTCCCTCATGATCTCCCTACTGCTTACCTGTCTTCTAGCTCCCCACTACTCAACTCTCCCTCACTTCTGCACAGCTACTGCCCACTTAAAATCTTCTCCCACTTCTGATTTGTCCTTCCCACATTCAAAACCCTCTACAATTAAAAACATCATAACCTGTCATAGTTTTCTTGTTAGATTTTCATTATCTAACGTAAGATGACCATTAGTTGCTTAAATAGGAAAGCAGAAACAAGCTGATTTCTCAAAGTATTTTCACAGAGCATCTTGGTTTAAACACACTCGGAAGGTAAGGGACTAGAGCTGGGTGATTTTTTTTTTAAATTTTTGGAAACTAGCTGTTCCACTTGGTATAAACAAACAAACAGTCACTGGGCCAGAGAGAAAGAGCGAAATGACTCTAGGTTGGTGATCAGCGCACTCATCTGGGAAATCCAAGTTCATGTTCCTTCTCCAATTACTATTTAATTATTTATGCACAGTGGAACACCTTCAACAGGAAAGACTGAGAGACCCATATTAGAATATCCCATAGCCCAGTGGCTAGGGGACTTTCCTATAGTGTAGGAGACCCAAGTTCAATTCCCTTCTCCACTTTAGGCAGAGGTGGGGGGATTTGAACTCAGGTGTCTCACATCCCAGGTGAATGCCCTAATGATTGGGCTAAAGCTCATTACGGAGGCACTACTACCTCCTTTTCCTCTCCTATTTTGTGAATCTAGCACTTTAATAATGCCCAGAAACACAATGTTTTGGGTTGAACTAAACATTTTGCTCAACCCACAAGTGACTTTTTCAGTTTGCTGAAATTTTTTGAATTTTCAAATTTGGTTTCATCCAAACTAATACTTTCCCCACATTTTTTCAGAAATGCCAAAGAACCATAAAATCAGTTATTTGCCCTGCTCTAAAAGGGAGACAAGCATCAAGACATCATCACTCAGCCAGGCTCCTTTCATCTCAAGGACTGCAGCTCTACGTTTGTATGTCTGCTGGTGGGCCCATATAGTTTTCTATTGGTTGTTCATAAAGGGAAGTTAAGAAACAGTGGTGAAACTGGGAGAAAATGGTCAGATAGAAAAACTGAAGAAAAGCATTATTTAAAACAATTTCAACTATAACACACTCATCATATTTTAAATTCCAGATATAAAAAGAAGAAAGCAGCACTGAAGTGTTGAATTCTTAATGCACAGCTTTTTTCCTTACACTACCACAAGCAGTGAATCTAACCCAATTTGAAGCAGTTGAAATCATAATGATAGTTTCTCAGATTTAATTGGCATTACAAATGAGCCCCATAGCAACCTTGTCACAGTAATGTTGTTTACAACCTTTTCTGACAAGTAGGCATAATAATGACTGACTACAGCTTATGCATGTTTCTACCTATCTTTTTGAAATCTGGTTGGAAAGAGATGGCATGAATGTTGCTAAAGAAAAAGAATTACAAAGATATATACTGTACATATGACTTTAATCCAAGAGGAGACTTAAATTGTATGAAAAAGCTAGCAATAGGAATAAGGATGCTTCCTGTGCTAAATATAGCTGAGAACTTGTATAATTTTTTTATAAAAAGGTTAGTGCAACATTGACTACATGAATTTATTATACATATGAAATAAGTTGAGGTAATCAAATTTACCTTAGTACACATTTAAGCAGACTAAATAGTCATAAAAAGTATCTCATAATACATAATGCTAGAATCAGGAAATAAAGTATGTACTAAGGACTGTCACAAGGTGAGAAAGCCCTTTAAGGGGGATGGGGCTCAGCTGCACTCTGTGCCAGGCTCAGCTCACCTTCCCAGGTGATGGGAATAAAGTCCAGGGATCATATGATAGAAGACTGAAACTAAGTGCCAGTCCTGCTGGGATGCAAAGGGCAGCATGATTTCAGGTATCAAGACAAGAAGGGAGCAGATGAGCTCTCCTTAGCTCCCAAGCAGATGTTCTAGGAGTGCAACTCTGCGGCAGCTTTCCTCCTTGCAGAAGGGAGCACACAGACTTGAATTAACACCCAGGCAGAGGACCTGAGAAGTGAGAGCTGCAGGAAATAATAGCTCCCACAAGAGACCATGGGCCAGGGGAAAGGACATGATTTACATCTGGAAATTACGTTAAGTTGTTTTATTTGAGAGAAATAAAAAATTTAGTGTCTGGAAAAAAAAAAAAAAAGGTATTGAAGTCCTGTGGCTGTTGAGAGTTCTTTTGATGCACGGTGAGATGGCCCACTAGCTTACAGGGCTAAACTAGAATGCTTTAAAAATTACAAACTCTTTATGATCTCAAATAATTAACGCAACATATGCATAGATAACATAAGTCCAGTCCTTTAATTATTACTCATATGAATAATTCCACTGAAGTTGAATAAGTTGCATATATGAGTATGGCTCATTTATGTGAGCAAGGTTTGAAGGATTTGGCCCTATATTTGCAGGCAAAGATTTTAAGAGTGGGTGCCTAAAACCAGGCTGCAAAGTCCATACTTAAGCACCTTAATAAGTGACATGATTGTCAAAAGCACTAGGCATCCAGCAGCTCCCACAGAAGTCCTGTGTTGTCTCTTCAGGCATCTACATCTAGTTCTCTTTGTGGAGGGTGGCCAGGCAGACTACTGCAGCAGCTCCACCGATCTCAATGGTTTAAAGTTCTAGAAGGCATTCAAGATGATTTTCTCACAGATGGTATTACAGAACTGTAAGATATTTCATGGTGCACAATCTTTTCCCTTCTTTCCAATGAGAACCACTATTTTAAAAAACATACATGACAAGCACCAAATCTAAGCTACTGAAAAAAGTGTGTTTTTAAAGAAATTTTTTCTAGGTGTTAAAAAAACCCCAGCAAACCCCAATAAACCCCAAAAACTCAACACTGCTCCTCTCCAAAGTCTCGTCTAACTAACAGCCAACTCTTTATCAATCTAGTCATGTCTAGGTTTTTCGCAATTGCCTCTCTGCACTACAGTGAGCAAAATTCTCATAAGTTTTTTAAAGGTCTCAAGAATGACTCAGCAATGCAGAAAATGACAGGACAATGAGTATGACTAAAGAAAGCTGGCAAGATTATTGTTTGGTGTACCAGTCTTGCTTGTGTCCTTTTTAACTTTAGCAAGACAGTTACAAAAATAAATGTAAAAAAACAAAATCCAAAACAATAACTCCAACAATGTTATAAGTTCTCTAACTACTTACTAAGGTTCTCAGAACAAATCCAAATAGTGAAGTACTGCTGTGTTTCTTGAGACAGACGCATTCCTTCCATTATCTGCTGTACAGTAGTATTGTTTCCATGTTTCAACTCAACAGAACGATATGACCCATCCATTCGATAAATCCGTACCTTCTCATACTATGGCAAAAATATCATTAAAAAAATGGGAGACAAATTAATCATAAGTTAAAATCCCACTCTTCTATTGCTTTCATTTCCACAAACATCAATTTTTAATCCAATTTAGCAGCATTTACATTTTGAGAAAAATAATTTTGCAGAATTCTTTTATATTTATCTTGGATCAGAAAACCCTTCACAGATCTGTGGGGGCTCCGAGACCATATAGCATTGTCTCTCTCTACATTTCTATACCGTGCCCATTACCATAGTAGCTAAGGTGCAGATTTTTAAAGGTATTTAGGTGTTGCAATGCTGAGCAGAACAATGCATAAATACCTTCAAAAATCTGGGGCTAAGTGCCTACATATATCCTGCCACATGCATTATATGATTACTACTACTGATTGACTATGAATTATGCACAAAACTAGTTTATATTAAAACATCTTATTGTTACCTTTTCCTCCCTCCATCCCCCTAATTTGTTTCACTTATCCTTTAAGTCTTATCTTTTAGGCCCTAAACTCTTCGGGTGCAAAGGCCTTAATTTATTATATGTTTGTACAGCTCCTAGCACAAGGTGACCCCCAATCTACTTGAGACCTTTAGGCACTACTACTACTACTAATTTTTACTCAAAACTCCCATTAACTTCATTGGATTGTGGGTGCAGAACATGTCTCACTACAGCCATGCTTTAAGCACGTGACTAACTTTTATGTATACCGTAAATAATCCCATTTAAGTCAATGGGACTATTCATGTGCTTAAGTACCAAGCTGAACTGAGAGCTTAAACTTCTTATCTTATCTTTCAATGCTTTAGCGGTTTAAAAAAAAGTTGCAAAAATTTATTATAATAGCAGTGTATTTCCCCATCTCCCCTCTGCTTAGCCTTTCCCAAAAAAATTCAGAGACCAAGCCTGGAAACTTTTAGCCAGAAAGGTGAATGTCTTGGAAAATTATGATTGACTGAAAATGAGGTTAGAATGGAAAACATTTGCAATCTTAACTATAGCACTTGCTCCCACTTCTACTGTAGTAACTTCAATTACCAAATATTTAGTTTTACTGTATTAATCTGATTATATTAGAAGGCAATAACATCTCTTATGCTTAGAGCTTAGAACAACTGCTTTATAAGGCAAAATGAGAGGGATCAGTTCCTTCTTCAGTAACACTGAAAGTCAAATGAAAATGCGCTTAAAAACAACATATCAGCAGACTGTATCAATATATAAAATGCTGGTATACATACAAAAGAAAACAGTGGTAGAATGATCAGTAGTGGCAGTAGAATTTGTGCTATTTTATACTTCCAGAAATCAAAATATTACATTTTAAAATCTTGCACACAGCTGTAGAGCCATAGGTACAAGATACAAACATTTAAAATGACAAACATTTAAAATGACAAATGTTCATTTCATACCAAAAATATAAATACATGCAGAGTACGTGTCCTGTAGACTGTCGTTGCTATATGTGGACCTACCACATGCCTTGGTTTTCCACTCTGTATACATTTTCTAAGACTTTAAAATATGACTACTAAACTGTTTAAAAGGTAAACACATACAGGTTTATTTATGGCTTCCTTCAGCAGTTTTGCTGTTTCTTCCCAATCATTTTGTTTGCTCTCTTCGCAGACATTCAATGGGGATCTTCCTTGTTGATCAGTAATGTGCTACAAATATGAACAGAAAGCCTGGCATAAATATAGTTTTCAATCTAGAAAGGTAAATGTTAACAAGTTTTGAAGATAACTAAAATATCTGGGATTTTCAATAATGTTAATTAAAAACCTCCCTTGTTCATAGAGTTCAGAAGTTTGATTGTTTAAATACTTTTCATTAATTGTATTTCTCTGTTTATTTTATCTGTTTCTGGCAGCCTCTCCACAGGAAATCACTGGGATAAGAAGAGCAGGTGTGTTTGCAGGCCAAGATTGAGGTGTTGGCAGAATTGTATGAAAAACCTTGCATAGAGCTTGCTTACACTAAATCTTATTCTAGTCAGCGCTGTCAGTCATTTATTACATAAGCACCAATTTGACTCCATTTAAAATAGAATTTTAGTATTCTAATTTTGTGCTACTGTGCATTCTGACATATATTCTACATATAGAGTAAAATGCATAGTCATAGATCTTCTGTGGTTGTGCTGGTGGTGGAGAGGGGGGTTTGAAGTTCCCATACAGAAGAACAGAAGAATGGCTCTACTGAGTCAGACCAAAGGTCCATCTAGTCCAGTATCCTGTCTTCCGACAGTGGACAGTGCCAGGTGCCCCAGAGGGAATGAACAGAACAGGTAATCATCAAGTGATCCATCCCGTCGCTCATTCCCAGCTTCTGGTAGACAGAAGCTAGGGACACCATTCCTGCCCATCCTGGCTAATAGCCATTGATGGACCTATCCTCCATGCATTTATTTAGTTCTTTTTTGAACCCTGTTATGGTCTTGGCCTTCACAACATCCTCTGGCAAGGAGTTCCACAGGTTGACTGCATTGTGTGAAGAAATACTTCCTTTTATATACAACTTACTTATTATCAGTAAATTAAATGTAATATAACTAACAACCAAAACTACTGCCCCACTTGATGGGGTTATAACTTCAGTCCTATAATGTATTTTCCATCTGTACATTTTCATCACACTATGTGCATTTGTTATTGGACACAGTATGTATATACAACAAATGTATACAAAAATGGTGCAGAATTTGATTGCTTCCCTCTTTCTACCCTTTGTATGCTGCAGAAAAGAGAGGAACTAACACCACACATCTCTTATAAGTGTGACCACTTTGCTTGTTCTTGGACATATCCTGCTCTGCTCCTCTTTATCTACTTCTTGGCTTTTTTTTGACTATAAGCTCTTATAGGGCCAGGCACTGTCTCTTTCTATGTGTCTACAGAGCACCTAGAACAATGCAGCCTAGCCCTGATTGGAGCCTATCGATTCAATAGCAATAATAATAATAAAAAAGACTTTTAACTAGATAAGTAATAGAAATGTGGAATTCAAGCAAAACCCAGAGACTGAGGAATTTACTTCTTCATAATTAATAGGAATTTTACAAAAGATAGTGAGAGTTTAGACTAAAATCTCTAGTAAAATCCAGTTAAAGTACAGTTGACAAAGGGGGCAAATATAAATCAGTCTGTATGTTTGGGCAGATTAAGTTTTAAGATGGAGTTTCCTATGATAATTGTACAACTGGAATTTGGGAGTTTAAAATGTATGTCCTTTTAAATTTAATTTAAGAGACAATTAAGAACTAAACTGCATTTATTTGTTTTTACCTTGGGAACTGGAGACATATAATATATGAGAGATATTGTAAGTGTGTGCTGCAACTGTAGGTAAAAATCATTCCAGTTACAAAGGTATCTTACTCTGTCAATTTCCAGATGGTTTAGAAGAATTTTCACAATTTCAACATGTCCTCCTCCAGCAGCAAAATGAAGAGGAGAGCTAAGTTGTCCATTCAGTAGGTTTGGATTACATTTCCCTTTCTCCAGCAACATTCGAGTGGCTTCAACTTTTCCATACCTACAAGAGAGATTAAAAGCAGAATGGCCACAACAAAGAACACAACACGATTTTTTTAAAAAACCTATTTCAGATGCTTTCAGAGATATTCCTGAATGTTTTAGGACATATGGCATATTTAGAATAGGGAAATGTGGTCTGGATGCAATTACTATAATGTGGGTGTACAACTGGCTCAAAAATCGTACTCAAAGAGTACTTATCAATGATTTGCTCTCAAACTGTGAGGATGTTTCTAATGGGATCCTGTAGGGGTCTGTCGTGGGTCCAATACTATTCAATATTTTCATTAAATTACTTGAATAATCGAGTGGAGACTATGCTTATAAAATTTGCAGAACACACACCATGCTGGGCGGGGTTGCAAACACTTTGGAGGACAGATTAGAATTCAAAATGATCTTGATAAATAGGAGAATTGGTCTGAAATTAACAAGATGAAATGTAATGAAGACAAATGCAAATTACTACACTGAGGAAGGAAATACCAAATGCACAACTACAAAATGGGGAATAACTGACTAAGCAGTAGTATTGCAGAAAAGGATCTGGGGATTATAGTGGATCACAAATTTAATATGAGCCAATGATGTGATTCAGTTGCCAAAAAAGAAAAATATCATTCTGGGATGTATTAGTAGGAGTGCCAGAAGCATGATGTGGGAGGTAACTGCTCTGCTCTACTCTGTCTTCAAACATATTAAGGGATGTTACAAAGAGAACAGTGATCAATTGTTCTCCATCACCACTGAAGGTAGGACAAGAAGTCATCAATTTAGTTTGCAGCAAAGGAAATTTAGATTATATATTAGGAAAAACTATCATTATAGTTAGAAAGTTAAGTACTGGAATAGACTTCCAAGTGAGGTCATGGAATCCCTGTCATTGGAGATTTTTAAGACAGAACACCAGTCAGGGACTGTCTAGGTATACTTGGGTCCTGCCTCAGCACAGGGAGGGTTGAGGTCCTTTCTAGCCCTATATTTCTATGATGCAAAGAATAAGAGCTGTCTTGTGAACAATTTTAGTTCAGACTACAGGAATGCAGAGCAGAATTCTTCTTTTCTGGATAAACCTACTCCTCATTAAAGACGATTTACATGTGTAGTTTGGTGGGAAGTGGATTTGAGCCATTTGAATTTTTTGAGAGCTAAAAACATTTTATAATGCTTTAAAAGAAGTGTAATTTCTTTCACTCTTCAATAATTCAAATAATAGCTGAAGAATGTTTCCTCATTTTCCATAAAATTTTACCTCTGGGCTAAGAAAACACGTAAGGATAATTATCCAAAGGATGTATTTTCAGAATGTAAGGATCATGTGAAAAGAAGGGTTATAATGAAACTTCTGATGTAATGTTATCTATAGTGGCCAGGTTACAACTATAAGACCTGCTGTAGAAACACTGCATAGAACCAGAAGTAAATACTGAAATAACAAAAATAAAAGAACATGTTATTTAAAGTTCTTGCTCTCTGTGTACTTTCAAAATGGAATAATCAAGCCATTGTTTAATAATAATGCTCTTCACTTCTATACCACATTTTATCTAAGGGTTCCCACGCATGACATTAAAATCAAAAGATTTTAAAAATCCAGTTTATTTTGCATCATTTATGTGGTTAACTTTCTGCATTTGTCTCAGCATAGACAAAAATCAATGAAGTCAGTTTCACATTTGTTCATATGTCAGTTTCACTTTCAAATTCTCAGTACTGTAATATTTGCAGAAGAATGATTAATTTGAAGATTGAATTAAATATTGACACATTTCTATTGGTCTGAGGGTTTGTAATTGTTTTAATAAAATCTAAATTTTGGGCTACATAAGAATTGGTATTCTGGATCAGACCCATGGTCCATCTAGTCCAGTACACTCTCTCTGATGGGGCCAGCACCAAATATTTCAGAGGAAGGTACAAGAAAACTAGCATTAGGCTGCCGTAGGACAATGTCCCATTAGATCTCCACCTTCTAAACCCTTTAGTCAGAGATCAGCTTAAACCTTGAAGCATGAGGTTTAATTTCTCTTTCAACATTTTTTTTATATTAACTATAAGAACAAATGACAACTAAAATGCTAGAGTTTGGACTTCCTGGCATTTAATTACTATTTTAAACCACACAAGTGCTTAGTGGTTTTCAGCCATAAATACCAGAAATACATTCACTTGGAAAAAAATACTCACCAGCACGCATAATGGATAGGTGCCCAATGGTCACTGTCTAACTGGTTGACTGAAAAGTTGTCATCTAGAAGGCGACTAAGTAATTCAGAGTCTCCTTCACAAGCACTGCGATGAAGAGGGAAATCATCTACCCATTGGCGCTCTCTAGTAATGAAAAGCAAAATATGAAAAAGATGCAACTCACTTATATTTCAACAATCAAACATAAAGAAATATAAAAATGACAACTTATGGGTATCTAATGATGTGCACAAAGCACAAGCAGCTAAAATGCATCAATGTTTATACAATTAGAACTTAGGTAGACAGATGGCCAGCCATGACTAATATTCATCATGCTAAGAAACATGCATTTTAGTGTTGTCCTCCAACTGTCCCCCCCACTCCACCTTACATTTGTTTGTTTCACCAATCTGTTGTGTTGTGCTGCAAACACTTTGGGGACTACTTTTTATATAAGTCTTTGTGCAGTCCCTAGGGCAATGGGGCCCTGCTCCCTGAATGGGGCCTTAGACACTACTGTAATATGAATAAATAATATAAAACATAATTATATAAGTGTAACAGTACTTGTCTTCTGTGACACTGCTCATGCTGCGTTGCCACTTTTCTCGTTTTGGAATCTGAATCTTTGAATAGTCTGGAGCTCCAAGACCAAAGTATGGATTTATAACCACTTTATCAACCTAGGAAGACAACATAATATTAAAAAAAAAAAAAAAAAAAAAAAAAAAAAAAAGTCTGAAAACCTTCTCACTGAAACTTCAACAAACCAATCGCAATTACTTGTACGTTCCGTGGAACCAATGTAAACATAGTACAGTAACTCCTCGCTTAGCATTATGTCCTTAAAAAATGCGACTTTAAGCGAAACGATGTTAAGCGAATCCAATTTCCCCATAAGAATTAATGTAAATGGAGGGGGGAGGTGGGTTAGGTTACAGAGAATTTTTTTCACCAGACAAAAGACTATGTTATATATATGTATACACAGTATAAGTTTTAAACAAACAATTTAATACTGTACACAGCAATGATGATTGTGAAGCTTGGTTGAGGTGGTGGAGTCAGAGGGTAGAAGAGGGTGGGATATTTCCTAGGGAATGCCTTAACTGCTAAAGAGAGAGATGCGCATTGCCCCTTTAAGTACGCTGACCCCACTCTAAGAACATTGCCTTTTTAGATCAGCAAGTTGAGACAGCAGCTGCTGCCTGCAAGCTCCCTCCGTCCTGAGCCCTGTCGTGTCTCCCCCCTGCTCTATGGAAATGGGGTAAGTGGGTGACAGGAGCAGGGGGGAGGGGGACACCCTGATATTAGCCCCCCTCTTCTCCCTCCCCCCCCAGCAAGCAGGAGGCTCCGGGGTAGGGTTACCATATTTCAACAATCAAAAAAGAGGACACGGGGTGCCACCCTAGCCCTGCCCCAGCCCCGCCCCCCCAGAACCCCCCTACCGGTCCCCTGACTGCCCCCTCCTGAGACCCCCCCCACCCTAACTGCCCCCAGGACCCCACCCCCTATCTAAGCCTCCCTGCTCCCTGTCCCCTAACTGCCCCAACCACTCTCTACACCCCCTTCTCCCGACAGCCCGCCCAGAACCCCCGACCAATCTAACCCCCCGTTCCCTGTCCCTTGCCTGCCCCCCCCACCAGGCCGAGGGAGAGCTGCGGGCTACACGTGCAGCCAAACACTGTTCCGCGCTGCTCTGCGGGGGAGGAGGGAGCGGGGGAGGGGGAGGGACTCTGGCTGCTAGAGGCCCCAGTGGCTGCGAGCGGCTTTCAATCAGGCTCAGCCGTCCAATCAGCCGCGCCGCACACTGCATGAGGGGAAGGGGGAAATCCCGGACATTTCTACTTTATTAGAAATCCCGCCCGGACGGCCATTTAAAGCTGAAAAAGCCAGACATGTCCGGGGAAAGCCGGACGGATGGTAACCCTACTCCGTGGAGCAGCTCCAAGGCAGAGGGCAGGAGCAGCACATGGCAGTGGGGGGAGGGACAACTGAACTGCCAGCAATTGATAGCCTGCTGGGCGACTACCACAGGGAACTTAGGGGCGCGGGGAGCTGATATGGGGGCTACTGGGGAGCTGATGAGGGGGCTGCCGGTCCACCCTGGTTCCAAGCCCCCACCAGCTAGCTGCAAAGGGCTGCTCTTTCTGCAAGCAGTGAACAAAGCAGGCGGCTGCCAAACGACGTTATAAGGGAGCATTGCGCAACTTTGAACGAGCATGTTCCCTAATTGATTAGCAACGAAACAACGTTAACAGTGATGACTTTAAGTGAGGAGTTACTGTAACTGCTATTAAGGGGAAAGATTTTAAAATTCGCACATTTGAAAATCAAATCTGGCCACAAGCATTGGACTGAGAAAACCTATGTTAAAGTTCAATACATGATTATCAAATCCCTTTCACAACTAAAATATAGTTCATACTACAAAACTCTTACCCTGTTGGTATATTGAAGATCCGACCCAAACAAAGGGTTGTAGATACACATATCTGCTTTCTCCAGCGCCAACATTTTGCTCTTTATTTCTAATGCAGTATATCCCATGTGTAGAGAGCTCTCCGTCTGACCAGGTTCAATAGCATATGCAGGGTTTGAAACATTAGTTTTAATCCTCTCAAGAGGAGATGGTCTGAATAAAGCTGGGATGGAATGAGATTGTGTATGTCGTTCATCTAACCACCTGGAGAACAGAATGGAAAAGTCACACTAGTATTTTGAAGATAAATAAAGGCTAATTTTTTAGCCACACTGGGTACACTAATTTTGGGGAAGTCAAAGGTTGTTGTGTGCATGAAGAAGCTACAGAATCAGGCCCTAAATCTGTTACATGAATTGCTCCTCTGACTCTAAGGAGTGCTTTTACTGACACAGAGGGAGGGACCTGCCCCCTGTTTAGGTTAAGCTGGGGAGAAACATAGGGCCATTCACACACTCCTCTTGCTGATTTTGCCACTCACATGTGCATTGTGGGGCATAACTTAGGGCAAGCATTTGGTCTTTATCTTCTGGAGACTGCCTTGGCATTTAATTGCTGATTTAATGTTGTCGTTCTGTTGATCACTGTGGGCTTTTGGGGCTTTTTTTAGGTCAAGTCATATTTGTGTGTGGGTTCTCTCACATACTGTAATACACAAGTTTGGGGTGGACATCATCTTTGCAGGGGAAAAAATTATTTGGTTATTTAGGCCAGGATGGGAGGGAGATAAAGAGGGATATATATTCCCAGAAATGTGGTATTCACTGTTTAGCTAGGACAGAAACACTCACAAGCAGAGGCTGCCTTAGTCTGTCTCAGTGGCAGCTCTAACCTCTCTATGGGAGCGGAGTGTGGCTTGCGGTCCAAGCCATGTGTCCAAACATGGGTAGACTGGATGGTATCTCTAGCTGGGTAGTTTCTTGTGACTTTGGGTTCTCCTAGTCAGGACAAAGGGTGTCCTGGACATCAGCTACCCTTTGCTGCAAAGAATACCTTAATTCTTTCCATTTGTTTACAATATTGTTTATTTGGTAAAGTTGTGGCCACTGTGCAATAAACTGTCCCTGGCTTGTGAGAGGTCTTTTGAGTAAGTACCCCATTAGATGGCTAAGGCAGGGGTCTCAAACCTCCCCAATGTGGCCTACGGGGCTCCAGCAGTTTTGGGGCCAGGTCTCTCCCTTGGCCCCACCTGCTTCCCCCAGGCGCTCCCCCCTCCCCCCCAAGGGCCTGGCAGCGCAGCGGAGCTGAGCGGCATCTGCCTGCTCGCTCCAGGGGCTGCCGGCCCCTCCCTGTGGCCTTGGGGCAGGGCTATGCTTCCACACGCTGCCCCTTCCCCAAGCGCTCCTGCAGCCAATAAGAAGCTGCGGGGGTGATTCCTGGGGGCAGCAGCGCACGGAGGCCCCCCGGCCTGCCCAGAGCCCCAGATAAGCGCCGCACTCGACCCTCTCCCAGAGCCTGCACCCCCTCCCCACACCCCCAAACTTCCTCCTAGAGCCCACACCCCCCCTCCTGCCCCCAAACTCCCTCCCAGAACCTGCACCTCTTCCCCATACCCCCAGCCCCCAAACTCCCTCCCAGAGCCTGCACCCCCTCCCCCTTCCCACACACCTCCTCCCACCCCCAAACTCCCTCCCAGAGCCTGGAGCCCCTCCCCACACACCCCCAGCCTCCAAACTCCCTCCCAGAGCCTGCAACCCACCCCCTGCTCCTGCACCCCCACCCTCTGCCCCAGCCCTGAGCCTGCACCCAGCACCCAAACTCCATCCCAGAGCCTGCACCCCAGACCCTCTCCCCCACCCAAACTCCCTCCCAGAGCCTGCACCCCAATCCCCTGCCCCAGACCTCCTCCCCCACCCAAACTCCCTCCCAGAGCCTTAGGCAGGTGGGGGGCAGAGGTTTTTTTTTGGGGGGGGGGCGGAGTTTTGGTCGGCATGAGTGACATTATTGGCCCACTGGGAGGATTTGAGGACTGGCACTGGCCCTAAAGTAAATTGAGTTTGAGACCCCTGGGCTAGGGTGTTAAACTTTTCAGAGCTATTTCTTCAGTCTGTCTAAAGACTCAATTAGATGACATAGCATCAGTTACATTCTGTTCACATTTTCAAGGTTTTCTCACAACCATAAAATCTGGAAACAAACATATTAAATGGAAGCTTAGATTCTAGGGCATCCATTCAATGACAGGTAAGTTTGACAATTACCACTGCGAAGCAGACAGAAACTGTTATGACTACCAATGCTAATAAATAAAAAATTAACATATAACTTATACTTTGCTATTGTCTTTGGCCCTGATCCTGCCATCATTTATGCATGTGCTTAGCTTCACTCACATGAGCCGTTCTATTGAATTCAATGTTTGTAGAACAGTTCAGACAAGCCACATCAGTATTTCTTCATTTTTGAAGATAAAATGAAGGACTGATTGTTTTACCACTGAATGGAACAGCACGAGTAAAGTTAAGAGCGTGTGTGTTTGCAGGATCAGAATTTAGGAGTGAGTCACTTTTAAAATCTCAAAAAAAAAATCACAAAAAATGTCTTTGCTACACAGAGCTGAAGAAGTCAGTCTCACCAAAAATATGTGGTTAGCCAATTTCCAAAAGATTAGAAATCAGATTAAAGTAATTATCTGTAAATTTTCATAATTATCTAATTTAAAAATAAGTGCTGTAAATCTGGGAAGACACGCTATATTATTCATAAGTAACAGGTTTAAGTCCTAGTTTAAGTGCAAATCTCAGTGCAATCTAGACTATGGAGATGCTAAGGTGACTTCATTATACTCTGGCAAATGTTATGAGTTTATCATTAAGATTATCTATATAAGATGTAGGTATTATTAATATTCTTGCATATCACTTCTAATAAACTAGAAGTGAACAAGCCTCTTTTTGGGAACCTCTAGATCAGGGATCGGCAACCTTTGGCATGCGGCTCGCCAGGGTAAGCACCCTGGCGGGCTAGGCCGGTTTGTTTACCTGCCGTGTCCGCAGGTTCAGCCGATCACGGCTCCCACTGGCCGCGGTTCGCCGCTCCAGGCCAATGGGGTCTGCGGGAAGCGGCGCGGGCTGAGGGATGTGGCTGGCCGCGGCTTCCCGCAGCCCCCATTGGCCTGGAGCGGCGAACCACAGCCAGTGGGAGCCGCGATCGGCCGAACCTGTGGACGCGGCAGGTAAACAAACCGGCCCGGCCCGCCAGGGTGCTTACCCTGGGGAGCCGCGTGCCAAAGGTTGCCAATCCCTGCTCTAGATTTAAAAAAGTATAACCATCTTCACCTCAAAACTATCTGGTGTGAAAAATTACAAATCAATCCTCAAGATTTGCTTGTTTTTTTAAATAAACTTACTAAGAAAACAACATGCGATATCACCATGATTTCCTTCTCAGTGATCACAAGACTGCTGTAAAACAGATCTAATTTTTCATGTTTGCAGACTTCCTTGTCTATTTTCTATTTCTAACCCCGTATTTCTACTAATGATATTTCTTACTTATCCAAGGCTATTAACATTCTAGCAGTGAGTGTAGCAAAATGAGTGCTGGATTCGCTGCAGACCCTCATGATGTCCTGTAAGCAGTAGAAAACTGGGCATCCAGGACTGTATGCGTATTTTGTATTATCTAAAAAGGAAAGAGAAACAGAAAACTCTTCAACAGCAACAAAAATCCTGTTTTCCTCTTTTGCAGTTATACAATTTCAGCCAAAAGAGATGATATTCTATTTTTAGACTATGGTAGATCAATTTTTCCCAAATGGTAACTGATACAAATTACATATGCAGTGTTTTTGTAGTGGTTTTGGTCCCAGGATATTAGAGACACAAGGTGGGTGAGGTTATATCTTTTATTGGACTAACTTCCAAAGCTTCTCTCTCTCTCACCAACAGAAGTTGGTTCAATAAAAGATATTATCTGAACCACTTTGCCTCTCACAAATTACATACCAATTCGTATGTAACAAAATTCAATCCAATAAAGTTGCCCTAAATGTATTATAAAATGTTCCATTACTGTCCCACCATTGTGATCATGTTCATTTTCTGAGTTACTGAAAAAACTGTATACTGTACACTGTTGAAGGAAAAATAACCTGTTAGCTTTGAGAAAGACCTTACGATTCAAATGGTGTTTATTTGTCAACTTTCACTTTCAAAGCATATCACAAATAGCAAGTGAACATGTTTCCCCAGTAAAACACAAAAAACTTCCATAATATTTGAAATGTATTTTATAGTCCCTTATTATATGAAATATATTTTGCCTTCAGAGACCTACTCAGTATTCCTTACTCAGGCAAGAATGCCCCATTCACTTCCATGGGGACTCTTCTCTCAGAAGAGTGCTGGAAAATATCCTTTTTTAATGTTTACTTGTATAAATACAGTACTTTGTAATAAAATTTGTTTTCTTGTTTCTTAATACCAAAATTAACCATTAGTAAATGTATTGAATATATAACAAAATATTGCACTGGTTCTCTAAAAATGCAACATTTTATTTTTTAAAAACTTTGATTCTCTTTAAACTTTGACTAACTACATTTCTCCCCTGTTTTTAGGCATCTGAAGAAACAGACAATTATGGACCTTTATCAACCTCAATCTAATTCTTCCAAACCCAAATATAAATATCACAGCAGTTAACATTTATATAAAATAAATATGTAAATTCTTTAGGAAACAAGGGCTTAACTTTCTCTAAAATACACACAACTTCAGGAATTATGTTTTAAACATTACCTTTGACAACAGTTGGAACAATGAAAAGAGAGGCTTCCCTGCCCACCTTCTCTCCATCAAGAGGAAATTTCTTCATTAACACTACTCGCTTTCCTAACATATTATTAAAACAACAAAGGAAGTCAACTGAGTGTTGGATGGACAAATGGTAGGCAGTTTGATTCTTCCTGGTTCCCAGGAAACAAAATAAAATATTATTTTCTGAAAACTGAGGAAGCAAATTAAATCTGAATAACCCTGAGCAGCTGCATGAATATATGTGCAACTCAACACACATACACAGATTATTAACAGGTAAAGAATTACCATTACTTTCAATTTCTCTTCATATGAATTTTTCCCATGAACCTAATCATTGCCATTGCCCTTCTCTAAACCAGCTCTAAAATCTGTAATATACTTTTTTTAATGGGGTGTGCAGCAACGCACACAGTATTCTACATGAAAGAGAACCACCAATTTATATAATGGTATTATGATGTTTTCCATATTATTCTCCATCCCATCTTTGTGTAACCCAACATTGATTTGCCTTTTTGACCTCAGCTACAAATTTAGCAAAGTCTTCACCGAACTGCACACTGTAATGCCCAGATTATTTTCCTGAGTCAATCCTGTTAAGTTAGAACCCTGTAAAGTGTATCAGTAGTTCAAATTTTCCTTTCCATCATGCTTTACTTTACATTTATTAACACTGAATTTAAGTTTCATTGTGTTACCCATTCACTTAGCTTGGTAAAACCCTCTTAAATTCCTCATAGTCTTCTCTGGATTTGGCTAACCAAAATAATTTTGTGCCAGGTGCAAATTTTTGCTACTTCACTACTTACCCCCTTTTCTAGATTGTTAATAATTATATGACCATGGTATAGCTACACCAGCAAAAATCACCCTTGTGTAGAAGCAATTACACTGGCAAAAAGGTGCTTTGGTATAACTTATACCATTCAGAAACAAAATGAGCTATACAGACAAAAGCACTTTTTGCCAGCACAGCTATATCATTAAAAAAAAAAAAATCACATCCCTACTCAAAATGGCTATGCCAAGAAAACTTTTAAGTGTAAACGTGGTCTATTAAACAACAATGGCCATAATATAGAACCTTGAGGCACTCTGCCATTAAGCTTTTGCCCTGATGAAAATGGATTATGTATTCTTAACTCTTTGTTTCTTATCGCTCAACCAGATTTTGATCCATGACAATACATTATCTCTCACCCCAGAATTACTTAGTTCCTTTACTAGCTTCTTGAGAGGGAACCTGTCAAAGGCCTCGATACAGTCTAAATAAACTATATCAAATGGTTACCCTTTATCCTCTATTTTACTACCATGGACAAAGAATTCTAACAGATAAGTGAGGCACAAATTTCCTTTGCAAAAACTGTGCTAGCTAGATACTATCATATTGCGGATTCCAGATGTTTTATTATTATTTTATTATAACTTTGACAAATTTACCAGGTATAGTTTAAGGCTATCTGGTGCATAATTTTCTGGATCATCCCTAAAGCCTTTTTTTAAATTGCTAATTTTTTAACTGTGATTAAGGTTGTGTGCACTGTAATTTAGTTTTTCTAAGTATTTAGGAACTTAGCTGTAAAACTCATTTTGGACTGAAATATCGGTATGGGCACACAAGGTCTCATCTACGATAAACTTGTCAGAAACAGTTTGGGGTTTTTTGAGGGTTTTTTTTTTTAAGACATTTAGAAGTAAAAGGAAAATAAAGGACAGCCTGAGGGTTCAGTTGCATGTTTCTGTTTGCAGAACTTGAAATAGAGCTTGATTTCTAAAACAGATATTGTTTTATTACTTCCTTTAACTGGCCTATTTGAGTAATACAATTATTACAGAGACACCAATACCAAATAAGGAAAAACAATTCTCACCTTTGATACCTTGATTAGCTGGTGAAATTGGTTTGGTGGTTTCTACTACATAATCCAAGATGCTCTGGGTTATCTCACTGCCTCCCTGAAGTTTAGTTTCCAACAAAACTTTCTTTCTCTTTTTCTTTTGTCCTTCAATGGGAACCTCAAGCAACAAAATCTTGCAAACAATAAAATTAAAGAATTATTTAAGAATTACTGAAACATTACTTTTATTTAACAAGCGGACTAGCAAATTTTTGTTTTTAATTAACCGATTGTAGTGCTATGTGCAAAATTCTCTAAATAGCAAGGGTATATGGGATATTCAACAGATACTGTAAATGATTTTGAATGTACTTTCACCCGACTTTTCAGGTCCTCAAAGTCATGGATGGCCAACTCCTATGTGACATTCTACTAAGCATTTTACTGCAGACTTCACAACCATCATGAACTCTGCTTGTGGACAAATCCCATGCTTCAGCAATCATTTACAGAATGTATTCCTTTTTATATTTTTAGTATTTTTGATATTGCAGAAGCTGGAATGTGTTTCATTAGGCAAAAATTATGCCATTAACTATATGAAGAATGTTTGATTTTTCTTATTTGAAATCCTTTGATATAAAATAATAAAAGTACAAAGTCATTATACACAGGGCTTTTTATTTATAAAATGGATATTATAAAAGGAGAAGCATAACTGGCCAGTAAAGATTCCACATTTGTGGGATCTTGGTGCAACTTCACAAATTGGTCCTTGGTAGTCAATTGTAAAAGCAGTGAGAAAATTCAGAAAGTACTAAATGCAAAACAGCATGTTCTGGAAGGTCATCTTGGTCACCAAAGACACAGAAACGGGAAAAGCCAAGATCCCAATCTTGTATTAAGATCCATGCAGCACAGAGATCCACCAATATGCAACATGATAGGTGACTTGGCCTTACCCTAAAAGACCTGACTCTGCTAACACTTGCACAGAGGTTGTAGGATCAGATTCCAAAACAGCAACTGTTTGACATGTTCCTGTCAATATGCTGTGCTGAGGTTTGATGGTTGATTTTAAGCACAAAAAAAATGTAATTAAAAAAAACCACTTCAGAAACTTAGAAGGATGTTACCTGAATTTTTTCTAGTATATGTTGTGATTGTGGCATTTGTTTAAAGTATAACATAATACATTATAGTGTTTTGGTATTTGTTGGGTTAGTTAACCTGAAACAAAGATTCAGCTCCCTCCTCTGCCACAAACTTCCTGTGTGACTGTGGCCAAGTCACTTAGTCTCTCTGTGCCTCAGCTCCCACTCTGTAAAATAGGGATAATTATACTTCCCTATGTCACAAAGGTTTTTCTGAGGATAAATAAATAGATAATAAAAGAGTGGGACACACCTACTATGGTAATGGGAGCTATATAAGTACCTAGGATTGCTCAGATAGTAATCTCTTTTTATCTATCTAAACTGAGGGTTAATTAAGGTTGTTGTTTTTCAGTTATGTTATTTTTTTCATATTTTCAAACTTTAATCAAATAAAGTAAAAAAAATTGTTTATACTTCATATGATTTAGCTCGATATTCCCGAGAATTCAGGCTAGCAGTAGTCTTTGGACGAATCACAGCAACATATGCATCTCCTATGTTTTCTGGGTTTCCCATGGTTTATTCTTTTTCATTTATTACTAGAATAAACAATAAACAGAAGTAAAAGGTTAGATTGAGGAAACAAGATAAAAACAAACCAAATATATCATACCTTAGCATAAATAATTATATTCATTGATGTTTTCTATTTAAAACAGGTTATTCATTTTTTATTATCTGGAGAAATTGTTTCAATAGTTGTTACAATTCATTTTCCTTTTCATGCATTAAGAGAATGTATCAGTGAAAAACCCCTACACTGTACAGAATTAATATGAGTAAACCTCTTCATTAACTTATTTTTATATTTAGGCTTGGAAGGATTAGATTTTTTTCTTTTGGATAAGTGTCAGTGAACCTCGATTTCACCATGCACACACAAACTGATGAAAAAATATTACATCGATAGTAATTGAAATTTATAGAGGGTAAAGTAACAAAAATGGGAACTTATTTGAGTTTGATTTTAAGATATTTACTTTGCAAATTTTGACATGTGACATTGACAATTTGTGTTATAATGGTTGTAAAGCCAACTTTTTGAATATCAGTGGGTACTATCATTAAATAATTGTCAGATGCCCCCACAACTGTGAAAGTTTAAATTGATAAAAATAAAAAAGCTTAAAAACAAACATCAATATTATCCATTGAAATTATAATTTTTAATTTTTTAAAATACAAAATAAAAATAAAATTCTTCCAAGCCTATTTGTAATGTAAAGATGACTGTATCTCTTTCAGTGAGCACGTAGCCTCCATAGAGTAGAATCTCAGAGTTACAAACACCTCAGGAATGGAGGTTGTTCATAACTTTGAAATGTTGATAACTCTGAACAAAATGTTATGGTTGTTCTTTCAAAAGTTTACAGCTGAACATTGACTTAATAGAGCTTTAAAACTTTACTGTGCAGAAGAAAATTGCTACTTTTAACCATCTTAATTTAAATGAAACTAGCACAGAAAGTTTCCTTACCTTGTCAATTTTTTTTTTTAAACTTTCCCTTTAGTAGTTTATGTTTAACACAGTACTGTACTGTATTTGCTTTTTTTTTTTGGTCTCTGCTGCTGCCTGATTTCCGGTTCCAAATGAGGTGTGTGATTGATAGGGATGTAAATGTTGTTAAAGTAGTACCCATTTAAACTATTAAAATTATATCAGTTAAGCATTTAACTGATTCGGGCCTCACAATGCCTAGGATGGCACATCTCCCCTCCCCGCTTGCCCTGGACAGATGGGGAAGGGCAGCTGTGCCCATATCGGGGGTGACACAGCAGGCCTAGCCAGGAGGCCCTGGGGCAATTGAGGGGGCCCAGCACCCCCCTCACATCCTCAGTACCTAGGGCCGCCCGAGGGGGGCGGGGGCAAGTGGGGCAATTTTCCCCAGGCCCGGGCCCCGCAAGGGCCCCCACGAGAATATAGTATTCTATAGTATTGCAACTTTTTTTTATGGAAGAGGCCCCCAAAATTGCTTTGCCCCAGGCCCCTTGAATCCTCTGGGCGGCCCTGTTAGTACCCAGGAAAAGGGAGAGCGGCCCAAGGTACCTAGTTTGTCCCGATGTGGCCTCCCCAGACGCGCCGTACCACCTCAGCAGTGGCTTCCCTTCCCTTCAATTATCAGCTGAAGCCACAGGATCAACCAGTGCTCCGGCCGCCTCCACAGCTGAGCTCCGTCCAGTGGCTCAGAGGGAGGCCAGGGACTACTTTACCTCCTCGACGGGGCCCGCAGCCTAAATACGCTCCCCTTGCCCCGCTGGCCACTCCCCGCGAAACCCCCAGACTGGTGGTTTGCTCACCCTACTTCCCTGCACTGCCAGGCATTTCTTGGCCTAGTGAGTGGTATCCTTCCACCTGGGTCTGTGTAAGTATTTCCCCTCAGGTCAATGGGGCTTAAGGGACTGCTTTTACCAACTAAGGGGTGTACAGGACCCTCCTCACCGCTGGGGCTAGAGAGTTAATATCAACCCAGCCCCTTTAAGAGGGGGCTGGGCTCTCAGTGACCTCTCGTGATACCCACCCCTTCCTGGTTGCCATAGACACCTCTTACCAGCATCCCAAAATGGTGTCTCTGCTGCAGGAGAACCTGTTTGAGACCCGCGCACAGGCCCCAGCCTCCAGCAAGGACTTCTACCAGCTGATCGTCACCCGGAAGGAGGTGGGTGAACAAGGGAAGGTTAATGGTTTGACTAATACTTATATTTTAACTATTTAACCATTTAATATTTTACATCCCTAGTGCTTGACCAGTAAGTTCGATACTCTGAGGTTCTACTGTACAGTAACTCCTCACTTAACGTTGTAGTTATGTTCCTGAAAAATGTGACTGTAAGTGCAACGATGTTAAGTGAATCCAATTTCCCCATAAGAATTAATGTAAATCGGGGGGGGGGGGGGGGTTAGGTTCCAGGGAAGTTTTTTTCACCAGACAAAAGACTATATTTATACACAGTATAAGTTTTAAACAAACAATTTAATATTGTACACAGCAATGATGATTGTGAAGCTTGGTTGAGGTGGTGGAGTCAGAGGGTAGAAGATTTCCCAGGGAATGCCTCACTGCTAAATGATGAACTAGCATTCGGCTGAGCCCTCAAGGGTTAACACACTGTTGTTAATGTAGCCTCACACTCTATGAATGGAGGAAGGGGAGACAGCATGGCAGACAGAGACACACAC